CGAACTCACAGAGATCCTCCTGGCTCTGCCTCCCGAGTGCTGGGATTAAAGGCGTGCGCCACCACCGCCCGGCTTGATTTTTTTTTTAAAGATAGGGTTTCTCTGTTTATCTGTGTAGACCCAGCTGTCCTTGAACTCACTCTTTAGACCAGGCTGGCCTGGAACTCACAGAGATCCACCTGCCTCTGCCTCACTCTGCTGGGATTAAAGGTGTGTGCCACCACCACTCGGTACATGTAAGATTTCTTTATACTGTCAGTTATAAGACAGGGTCTCTTGTAACTCTTCCTATCCTCCTTATTGATACATAACTGAGTGTGACCTTGAACTCCCGATTCTCTTACTGTGCTAGGGTTACAGGTGCCTATCACCATGTCTGGTGCGCATTCATCTGTGTTCATGTTCATGTCTGTAAGGAGACCACAAGTTGACAATGGGTTTTTTTCGGTTTCCCACGTTCTGAGACTGTCACTGAACCTGCAAGGCACTATTTTGACTAAACTGGCCAGTGAGCCCCCAAGGACCTTCCTGTCTCCCCACCCTCCAGTTCCTGGCTTTGAGAGCATTCACATCTAGGTCCTCATTTTTGTATGACAGGCTTTTTTTTTTCTCTTCTTCACTCTGAGTCATCTAACTAGCTTCTAGTTAGCTGGCTTCCTCCTCGCTTTCCTCTTCTATGTGTGTGGGTGCACAAAGCCTTGTACAGGCACAAGGAGCCAGATTATCTTTTATATTTGAGCAGTGTCTCTGACTGAAACCGAGGCTTAACATTTATGGTTAGGTTGGCTGGCCAGCAAGCTCCTGAGATTTACCTATCTCCGTCTCAACTCTGGAATCATAGGTACAGGTACTAATTTCGAGCTTTTTTGTGGGTGCTAGGAAGTTGAATTCAGGCTTTCTTGCATCTACAACAAGCACTCTTACACACTGGGGCGGCCATTTTTTCCAGCCTTACAATTTTTTTAGATCAGGCTCTCTTTGTAGCCCATTTGATGGTAGTCAACCTCAGACTGATGTGATCTTTTTACCTCAGTCTTTTGAGTGCTGGAATTATAGTTATAAACAACCACACCTGACTTATTTTGTTTTTTAATTTAATTTATGTTTGTGCGAGCTTGTCTGTCTGCACCGTGTGTAGGCAAGTCCCTATAGGGCCAGACAGGAGCGTCAGAGTCTCTGGAAGCAGTTTGTAGGCAGTGTGAACAGCGGGTCCTCTGAAAGAGCAACAGCCGCTCTTACCTGTTGAATAGTCTTTTCAGTCTCTGACGGTTTTTGTTTTGTCTTTCAAGACGAGATTTTTCTGTAACCCCAGCTGTGCTGCAGCTAGCTCTGTAGACCAGGCTGGCCTCAAACTCAGATCTGCCTGCCTCTGCCTCCCGAGTGCTGGGAATAAAGGTGTGTGCACCATCATCCCTGGCTCAGTCTCTTACTT